AGCACCCCCAGACTCGGCACCCGCAGGCTCAGCACCCCTAGCAGCATCAGAGTCAACAGCTACCTCGAGAGGCTCGACTGCGTCTACCTGGGACACACCTGAGGGGGCAGGACCCTGAGGGCGGAGGGGGTCCACCGGGGGGGGACCTGGCGCGAGGAAGAGCGGCGGGGGGGGGGGATGGGGGCAGCGCGGTAGGGGAAGAGACGGTAGTAAGGAACCGACTCGTCAAACGTGACGTCCTGGGAGGACAGAACACGGCGCGAGGTGGGGTGGTAGAACTGCCAACCAGGCGCGTCAAGGGGGGAGCCAAGGAAGACGCAGGGAACAGCATGGGAGGACAGCTTGTTCGCAGACAAGTCGCGCACGAAAGCTCGAGATCCCCAGACACGGAACGCAGACGCATCGCCAACCTTCCCCGTCCACCGCAGAGTAGGGGAGGTCTCCGGCATGGAGACCCGGGGCTGAAGGATGATCTGATGCGCCGCGTACTGAACCGCGAATGGCCACAGAAAATGGGGAGCAACCGCATGGATCATGGACGTACGAGCGACGTCCATGACCATGCCAATGCGGTGCTCAGCAATCCCGTTTTGCTGTGGAGAGGCCGGAAGCGTGAACGTCTGGCAGATGCCCTCCGCACCACAGAAGGCTCGCAGAAGTTCGGAGGAAAACTCTCCACCTCTGTCAGAGTGCAGACGCAGAACAGGAAAGTTCGAGCCGAAACTCTCTCAGAGCTGGAGACGAGCAGCGCGGATCCAGTCAATCAACACCTCAGTGACCTCACCCTTGCGGCGCAAGAGGAAGACTGTGGTGTAACGCGAGTAGTCATCAACCATCAGTAGGAAGCAACGCTCGTGACCCTGTCCACGGACGCGGGCTGGGCCCCACACGTCCATTATGAGAGTCTGCAGCGGAGCCTTTGTCGGAGGAAACTCCTAGGAGTGAGGAGCGGTGCGCTGCCGCCCCTCGACGCAGGGAACGCAGGTAGGGGCAGGCCCGGAGGAAGGGGAGGGAGGGTCCGGGGGAGACCAGAGACAAGGACACGGGAGGCCATGCCTCGGAGACGAGGCAGGGAGCGGTGACCAAGGCGGTGGTGCCAGAGGAGAGTCTGGTGGGACAGGAGGCGACACGAGCAGGGAGCAGACTCAGGACCAAACCGCGACGCCGCAGTAAACACTTGACCTGACGCAGCTACCTGACTAGACGCAGCAACCGGAGGAGACTCGGTAGTCAGTGTGTACAGGCTCGAGCCCGGCTGAGGGGTAAACGTGGCCAAGTGTCGGCCCGTCCGAGTACACGTGCAGTGGGTCACTCGCTGAGTCGCAGGAGTGAACTGGTCAACCCCCCCGATCCTGTAGGTCAGCACCACTCACCAAGTTCGTAGAGAACGAGGGGAGGTAAAGACCTGACAGGGAGCCATACGGGGCCGCCGGACACGGTAGGACAATGGAGTAGTGGGCAAGGACAGGACCCCCAGAGGGGTCTGCCAGGGAGACTGCAACCGGCCGACTAAGCGGCGTGAGGGTGGTGCGGTCTCGAAAGAAGGAGCGGGAAGCACCCGAGTCAAGGGTTAAGGTGTGCAAAACCGCAGCAGGCGCTGCACCCGAGAGAGCAGACTCACCAACACTTGGAGTAGGAGAGTCACTAGCACCTAGAGCAGCAGCCTCACCGACACCTGGAGCAGGAGACGCACGACCACCTAGAGCAGCAGCCTCACTGGCACCTGGAGCAGGAGACGCACCAGCACCTAGAGCAGCAGACTGGATACCGGGGTCAGGCGGCACACACAGGTGACAGTCTCCCTCGGCACTAGTAGACAATGAATACATTGCAGTGAGAATAGCATCATAGTCAAGAGCAAAGATATCTACCTTCTGCCTAAGCAGCTCCACCCAGTCGGGGAGCTCAGCATCGTCGCCAAACTCTGTACGCCAAGCGTCGCTCAGACGGGCGAAGTAGCGGGACTCCGTGTGACCAGGCGTCCCGCAAGGCTGACCAGTCCGGACACCCGTGCGAATGACGTACGGGCCGCAAGCAGTACTCAGTGACCCTCTACTCTAAGCGTACCACTCACGAAGCTGCTGGGGCGGAAGAGCCTCGCACGGACGACGGTGCAGCTGCATCGGGCCACTGCAAGATGCTCCCAAACTACCCACTCCAGGACGACTCCCACTACGGCCACCCCGACAACCTCCACGAGCGTACCAGTCACGAAGCTGCTGGGGCGTGAGGGACTCACGCGGACTGCCCTTGAGCTGCATCTGGCAACGCCAGGAGCAGCAGAAACAGCAGGAGCAGTAGTAGCAACAGTAGCAGCAGTAACAGCAATAGCAGCAGCAGTAGTGGTAGCAGCGCGGGCAGGGCAGTGCTCACCAGTGGTGGGAAGGGCAGGCGCACGACGGCGGCGACGGCGGGCCGCTACAGCTGCAGGGCGGGGCCGCTAAAGCTGCAGGGCGGGGCCGCGTCCGCGGCAGGGAGCTCCGCGGCAGCTGCTGCAGGGCGGGGCCACCTCTGCGGCTAGGGGCTCCATGGCAGTTGCTGCAGGGCGGGGCAGGGCCGCGACGGCAGCTGCTGCAGGGCGGGGCAGGGCCGCGACGGCAGCTGCTGCAGGGCGGGGCAGGGCCGCGACGGCAGCTGCTGCAGGGTGGGGCAGTCCGCGACAACCGCTGCTGTAGGGCGGGGCCGGGCCGCGACGGCAGGATGCTGCAGGGGCGGCCGTCCCAAGGGCGGGCGCGGGGTAGGGCAAGGCGCCGCTGCGGGCAGGGGCGACGCTGGGCGCGGGGTAGGGCAGGGCGCCGCAGCGGGCAGGGGCGACGCCGCGCGAGTCCCGTAGGGGCGTCGTGACAAGGCGGGGGCGACGCGCGGGTCCCGCAGGGGCGTCGCGACAAGGCAGGGGCGACGCGCGGGTCCCGCAGGGACGTCGCGGCGAGGCGGGGGCGACGCGCGGGTCCCGCAGGGGCGTCGCGACGAGGCAGGGGCGACGCCCGGGTCCCGCAGAGGCGTCGCGACGAGGCAGGGGGGCGACGCGCGGGTCCCGCAGGGGCGACGCGACATGGCAGAGGCGACGCCCGTGTCCCGCAGAGGCGTCGCGACGAGCAGGGCGACGCGTCGCGGGGTCCAGGGGCCGCGCCGCGGGGTCCAAGGGCGGCTGCGCGGGTGCAGGGCAGGCCCGCGCGCTGCCTGCAGGGCAGGTCGGCAGGGTGGCGCTCGAGGGCGCGGGTAGGCTGGCGCGCAAGGGCGTGGGTAGGCAGGCGCTCGAGGGCGTGGGTTGGCAAGCGCGCAAGGGCGCGTATAGGCAGGCGCTCGAAGGCGCGGGTAGGCAGGCGCTCGAGGGCGCGGGTAGGCAGGCGCTCGAGGGCGCGGGTAGGCAGGCGCAAGGCGCGTGATAGGGTAGGCAAGCACGACAGTGCAATTCGGGCAGGGCAGAAAAAAAAAGTTTGTGGTGGGCCCTAAAAAAAACGGTCCCCCAAGGGAACCTGCTCTAAAAACATGTGAAAAGTAGAGGACAAGGAATGACTCAACTAGCAAGGAGATGGGTACAAGTAGGAAAAACTAGCAGTGTTGTACCCCATACAGTCTACCCCACTACAGCCTACACAGAGTATGTCATATATGTTTGACACTTCGAAGCACCTGAAACTACACCTACCCCTCCACCATCCCTGTTTTTGCGATGAGTGAGCGATGGGAGTTAGTGAGCGACGGGAGTGTGTGAGCGACGGGTATGAGTGAGTGACAGGATTGAGAGAGTGACATGTGCCTCCGGCGAGTGTGGATGACGGAAGCGAGAGAGCGACAGCAGTCTGTGAATGATTTGATTGAGTGCGGGAAGGGATTGAGTGTGGGACGGGAGTAACTATCGAGGTGTCATAGCCGATTTCGCTATTGGCTATGCGAGTGTCGGCTAACGCGATATAACCGTCAGTAGCGACGAGTGCTTTTTACGATGGCGATCAATCAAGGCGGAATTCTGGATTTGCTGTTGGCTACCAGATCGCACTTATTATGCACGGAAAAGTCGACGGGAAGGGCAGTCTCTATGTGCTACCAAAGTCTTAGCATAGTACAGAGATGGGCGTAACTACACTCGGCTAACAACGAGAACTATGGCTATAGAGCACACTATGCTACGAGTCTAGAAAGGCATTCTCGAGTTTCAAGTTCTGAAAGCGTGAACATTGATACTTGTTCTTGTTTGTTTCTGGCGAGGCTCGTCGTTGTTTTTGTTGTGGAGCATTTGGCCAATCACCTTCTGGCCCACCAACTCCCTTCTCGGTGGGTCGTGAGGGAGAACCTTTCTCAACCTGGTTACCCTGTTCTTAACGAACTCAAGTTCAAGAATCTTGAAGTTGAACCCTTACCATTCTAGACTCAGGCTTTAACATTTTCGAGCATACCTAACACCCCTCCCCATTTTTGGGATGATTCATGGATAGGTGTTACAATGTATAGGTGTGACGATGGTTAGGCGCGTTGCTTCTGCTGCTCGCCTCGCCTGCGTGTGCCCAACGCCCTTCCGCCAGTCGCGTCTGCAGCCGCCTAGACGCCACTGAAGCTGCAGCAGTGTGCGTTTGACGAGGTGTGTGCTTGATGAGGTGCTCGCTTGACGAGGTGCGCGCGTATTCACGCGGCAGCGCCATTGGCGGTCCCCACGACTGGTTGAAGGATGCGTGCGACGGTGGTACGGAGTGATGCGAAGTGGCTCGCCCATTCCAGCACACAACACTACCACACCCGATCACCGCCCCGCTCCTATCAAGCGCCCCTGCTCTGCCTGCTTCGCCATCGCGCGCGCGTATACTTGCGCTTGCTCCCGCCATTGTGCGCTCGCGCGGGTCGCCGATCGTGCTGCGCAACTCGCCACTGGCGCCAATACCGTCCGCCAAGCGCGGGTCGCACAGTGAGTGCGCGAGAATGACGAACCTCGCATAAATTCGTAGCAGCGCCGTGAGTACAAGGCATGTCAAGAAGATGTAAGTGCGTAGCACTGAACCCACCTCATGCAAATCCACCTGCTCATCCCTCCTAATCCCTTCTTCTCCGCCCATTTCCTGTCCGCCCAGTTCCTTTCCGCCCATTTCCTTTCCGCCCATTTCCTTTCCGCCCTTTTCCTTTCCGCCCATTACCTGTCCACCCATTTCCTGTCTGCCCAGGTCGCACAGAGTGCTGGCATGAGGATGGTGGGTGTAAGCTTGGGTGAGGGTGGGCATCTGCCTCCTGTCTACCTCCATTTACCCCACCTTTCCCCCTCATTTCCACCCCCCTCATTTCCCCAACATTTCCCCCACCTTTCCCCCTCATTTTCCCCCTTTCCCCCCTCCATTCTCCCTCTTGTCCTCCTCGTTCCCCCCTCCTTTACCCCTCCTTTCTCCTTCCTTTCCCCATCATTTCCCCTGCCTTTTCCCCGCCTTTGCTTCTCACTCCTTTCCCCCTCCTTTTCCCCCTCTTTCTCCTTCTTTCGCCCCTCTGTCCCCCTCCTTCCCTCTCCTTTCCCCCTCATTTCCCCTCATTTCATCCCTCCCCACTACTCCTCTCCTAGTTCCCTTCCTTTCTCCTCCTTTCGCCTCCCATATCCCCTCCTTTCCCTTTCCTTCCCCCCTCGGTTCGCCCTCCTTTCACCCCACCTTTCAACCCCCTTCTTTCCTCCCTACCCACTCCATTCACGCTCCTGTCCCCCTCCTTTCTCCTCCATCTTCCCTCCTTTTCCCCTCCATCCCCCCTCCTTTTCCCCTCCATTTCCCCTGCTTGTTCATCCCCCTCCTGCCCCTCTCTTGTTCCTTTTCCCGACGCTCTTCCCCACGCTCTTCCCCACACTCTTCCCCACGCTCTTCCCCACGCTCTTTCCCACGATCTTCCCCACGATCTTCCCCACACTATTCCCCACGCACCCTCTTCAGCGCTCTCACCCGGGTCGGATCAGTCGTCGTCTGTCGGCGCTCCAAAGGCTCTCTCACTTCACCTCCATCACCCCGCCGCTGCTCAAGCCACTTTTTGCAACGTACATGCCATCAGCACTTGCCAAGGCAGCTCACCTCTTTGCCAGGGCAGCCCACCTCCTCTCCTCCCCCTCCTCATGCCTCCCTTGTTTTTGCATCCCCTCATCCTCACCCCTCCACCTGGACCACTTGTGCCACGCCTGCTGGCAGCACCACAGCTCTACCACCCCTGCCCCACTATCACCCAGCTGCACTCTCCGCATTGGTTGCTGCCACGTCAGCAGCACCCCCAACCAATCAGAGGGCGCCGGTGGCAAAGGGGAGAAGCGTTTGGTATCGCCGCCTGGTTGGAAGGAGGAAGCTTCCTGAGAGCTTCCAATGCGGCTGAATGTTTCTCACTATGCCCTGCTGGCAGCATGGTGAGTTGAATGGAGGCATGTGCTGGGTGCAGTGAGGTGGCATGCTGACGTGGTATGCTGATGTGGCATGATAACGTATATGCTCACAGGCCAGTTGGATGCACCCACTTTCTCCTTCCTCCGTACTGCACGCCTGCCAGAATCGCATCTTGTGCTCCAAGGTACTGCCCTGCACTGCCATCTCCCTATTCACCTCAACTTCCCCAGATATACACCCCCCGCCTTTCCTCTTATCCGCCTTTCCTATCATCCACCTTTCCTCTCATCCGCCTTTCCTCTCCCCCGCCTTTCCTCTCATCCGCAGCAGCAGCACCACTAGCTCCAGCAGCTCCAATACCTCTAGCACGAGCACCTCTAGACCAGCAGCTCCAGCACCTCGAGTAGCAGCTGCACCACCAACTCTGGCAGCTCCAGTACCTCTAGTACGAGCACCTCTGGGACCAGCAGCCCCAGCACCTCCAGCAGCAGCACCACCACCAGCTCCGGCAGCTCCAGTACCTCCAGCACGAGCACCTCCAGGACCAGCGGCTCCAGCACCTCCACCACCTCCTGTAGCAGCACCACCACCAGCTCCAGCAGCTCTAGTACCTCCAACACAAGCACCTCTGGAACCAGCAGCTCCAGCACCTCCACCAGCAGCAGCACCAGTCCCTCCAGCGCCAGCGCCTCCAGCGGCAGGGCCTCCAGCTCCAGCAGCGCGACTCCGAAGGCGGGTGCACCAAGCGTACCACTCGCGCACCTGCTGTGGTGAGAGAGGCTCCCGCCGGCTAGACCGCTGGGGCGAGGCACCAGTGAACCTCCAAGACTAGTAGCTCCAGCACCTCCAGCAGCAGCAGCAGCACCATTGCCTCCAGCCAGCGCCTCCAGCGCCACGGCCTCCAGCTCCAGCAGCGCGACTCCAAAGGCGGGTGTGCTAAGCGTACCACTCGCGCAGCTGCTGTGGTGAGAGAGGCTCCTGCCGGCTAGACCGCTGGGGTAAGGTACCAGTGGGACCTCCAGGACTAGTAGCTCAAGCACCCCCAGTACCTCCAGTACCAGTAGTACCTCCAGCACCTCCAGGACTAGCAGCTCTAAGGCCTCCAGCTCCAGCAGCGCCACTCTGAAGGCGGGTGCGCCGAGCAAACCACTTGCGCAGCTGCTGTGGTGAGAGAGGCTCCCGTAGTGTAGACGCAAGACCCCTAGGCTCAGCACCCCCAGACTCAGCACCCCCAGGCTTAGCACGCTCAGACTCAGCACCCCCAGGCTCCGCACGCTCAGGCTCAGCACCCCCGGGCTCCGCACAGGCTCAGCTCCTCCAGGCTCCGCACGCTCAGGCTCCGCAACCACAGGCTCAGCACCCCCAAACGTAGCACCCCGAGCAGCACCAGAGTCACCAGTGACCTTGACAGGCTTAACCAAGGGGAGTGGGTCTACCTGAGACACACCTGAAGGAGCAGGACCCTGAGGGGGGGGGGGATCTACCGGAGGGGGACCTGGAGCGAGGAAGAGCGACGGGGCGGGGGGGGGGGGGGGGGGGGGGGAGAGGCCGTTCTGCTCAGCAGGCCATAACTAAGCCAATGCGGCGCTCAGCAACCCCAATCTGCTGCGGAGAGGCCGGAAGCGTGAACGTCTGGAGGATGCCCTCCCCACGACAAAAGTCCCGCAAGAGGTCGGAGGCAAACTCACCACCTCTGTTAGAGTGCAGACGCAGGACAGGAAGGTCCATGTGGAACCGCTCGTGGAGCTGGAGACGGACAGCGCAGATCCAAGGGATGAAGACATCAGGAACCTCCCCCTTACTGCGAAAGGGGAAGATTTTGGTGTAACGCAAGTAGTCGTCAACAACCAGCAGAAAGTATCGCTCGCGGCCCTGTCCCTGGACGCGGGCTGGGCCCCACACGTCCATGTGGAGAGTCTGCAGGGGAGCAGTCGTTGGAATTTAGGAGGAGTGAGGAGCGGCGCGCTGCCGCCCCTCGACACAGGGAAGGCAGGGAGGGGCAGGCGAGGGTGGGGGGGAGGCAGAGACCTGGGAAGACCAGAGAAAATTAGGCGGGAGTGCATGCCACGGAGGCGTGGCAGGGAGGGGTGACCAAGGCGGTGGTGCCAAAGGAGAGTCTGGTGCGACAGGAGGCGACACAAACAGGGGGCTGCTAGCTGACCTGACGCGGACGCATGCGTAGCTACTTGAGGAGGCTGAGTAGTCAGTGTGTATAGGCTCGACCCACGCCGATGGGTGAACGTGGCCAGGTGACGGCCCGTCCGTGCACACGTGCAGATCGCCACACGCTGTCCTCCAGGGATTGGGTATCAACCCAAGCATCCTGAAGGACGGTGTTACTCACCAAGTTCGTAGAGAACGAGGGGAGGTGAAGACCTGACAGTGAGCCAGAGGGGACCGCCGTACACGAGAGAACAGTCAAGGAACATGCAAGAACCGGTCCCCCAGAGGGGTCAGCCAGAGAGACTGCAACTGGTGCTGCGAGTGGTGTGACTGTGATGCTGTTTCGAAAGAAGCACCGGTAAGCACCTGAGTCAAGCATGAAGGTGTGGAAGGCCTCAACAGGCGCAGAATTAGAGAAAGCAGACTCACCAGCACCTAGAGCAGCAGCCTCTATACCGGGGTCAGGTGGCACACACAGGTAACAGTCACCCTCAGTACCAATAGTCAAAGCATACATGGCAGTGAGGATAGCATCATAGTCTAGAGCAAAGATATCCACACCCTGCCTAAGTAGCTCTAGCCAGCGGGGAAGCTCAGCCGCGTCGCCAAACTCTGCGCGCCAGGTGTCGCTAAGACAGGAGAAGCAGCGGGACTGTGTGTGACCAACTGTCCCGCAATTCTGACCAGCCCGATCACCTGTGCGAATGACATACGGGCATCGATCACTACTCCGAGACGCCCCACACTGAGCGTACCACTCATGAAGCTGCTGGGGCGTAAGGGTCTCGCGCGAACGCCGCTGCAGCTGCACCAGGTCACCACTCCCACCACTACTTTGAAGAGAAGTCATAGCAGGCAAGCAAGGAGGTGCGCGACCAGTAGGGAAGCACAGAGGGAAGGCAGGGCGACGAGAAGGCACTAGGGTAGGTCGGGGTGGCGTACGGTCAGGGAAGGGCGGCGCGCGGCCAGAGCAGAGGGGGCACACAGAAAGGCAAAACGGCGCGCGAGGCTGCAAAGGGGCAGCGCAGGAGCTGCAAGGGCGGTGCACGAGCTACAAGGGCGGCGCGCGGGCTGCAGGGTGGCACGCGGGCTGCAGACGGGCAGCTCGCGGACATGTAGGGCAGGGAGCGGGTTTCAAAGGGCGGCGCGCGGGCAGGTAGGGGCGGCACGCGGCCAGCAGGGCAGCACATGGGTCTGCAAGGGGGGGCAGCTCGCGGGCTGCAAGGGCAGCGCGCAGGCTGCAGAGGGCAGCGCACTACCAGCAGAGCGGCGCGCGGGTTACAGACGAGCGGCACGTGGGCTGCAAGGGGCGGCGCGCGGGTGGCGTGCGCGGGGCGACGCGACGCGGGGCAGGCAGGGGTGGCGCACAGGCAGGCAGGGGCGGCACACGGGCAGGCAGAGCGGATGGGCGACGTGATGGGCTGGGGCAGCCAGCACGGGCGACGCGACGGACAGGGGCAGGACGGACGGACGACTCGACGGGCTGGGGCAGCCTGCACGGGCGATCCGACAAGCAGGGGCACGGCGGACGGGCAACGCGACGGGCTGGGGCAGCCCGCACGAGCGACGCGACAGGCAGGGGTAGGGCGGACGGGCGATGCAACGGGCTGGGGCAGCCCACACGGGCGACGCAACGGGCAGCAGGGGTGCACGGGCAGCGCGACGCGACGGACAGCAGAGGCGTGCGACGTGACGGGCTGCAGTGGCGCGCGACTCGGGGCAGGGCAGGGCATGCACGGGGCAGCGCGACGCGGGGCAGGACAGGGCGTGCGCAGGGCAGCGCGACGTGGGGCAGGGCAGGGCGTGTGCGGGGCAGCGCGACGCGGGGCAGGGCAAGACGTGCGCGGGACAGCGCGACGCGGGGCAGGGCGGGGCGTGCGCGGGGGAGCGCAACGCGGGGCAGGGCGTGCACGGGCAGCATGACGTAAGGCAGGGCAGGGCAAGGCGCGCGCGTGACGGCGCACCGCAGGGCAGGGCGTGGGGTAGCGCAGTAACCACAGTCGGTCACTAGCCGATGGTGGGCCCGATAAAAAAACCGGTCCTACGGATCTACTGCTCTGAAACCATGTCAGAAACTAAGGAGCAGGAATGATTGCATTGAGTAAGAAAGTGATACAAGTACTAACCCTAATTGGGTTGCACCCCATATAGGCTACCCCACTACGACCTACACAACACAGAACATAACAGTTTCACAATATATTTTGTTTTGCATTGTATTTCTAGTATTTAGAAGGTGGGGGAGTGTAAGGAAATTCAATCCCTTACTGTAGCCTGACCTTTACGGGTACAGCCTGAGCACTTCGCGTCAGTTTGGGTTCGACCTACCTAGGCCCGAACCACTTCCGAGTCGGCCCGTACAAATCACGACACTTCCAACCCTTGCATGTCTCGGGGGTCCTCGTCTAGCACAGTTTCACCCTAAAAATGTTTGCTTCTTTAATTATACACTCATACCAAACACCCAATACAGCTCAACTCATTTACAAAATGAGCGTATGACCAGGCCCCCAAATTCATCTTTGGAGGCCCTAATCGATCAAAGTTATTTTGTGTTCAAAGGCTGATTGACAATGTTACAAAAAAAAAGCCTGAAAAATCAGTGTTACTTGTCGAAAAAGATTGATAGATCAGTGTCCCTAAACTTAAATGCCTGTTTTTAATCAAAGTCCTTTAATTAAAGCGAAAATCACATGCAGCCTTGTAAAACCTATGCAAAGGTACCAGGAGCTCAAGAATCATATTCAGAGTCCGATGCATCATCACAGCTAGTAGCCTGTGCTTCTTCCCACTCCTCCACAGCTGTCTCCTTGCCCCTGCCATCCTCCTCCTGTCGCTCTTTTGCTGGTGCTGCTGCAACATTGCCAAA